ATTAGAATGTGTTCTCATAGTTGGCTGATTACAAACTAACTTTGGTTTGCTGTAGATTGGAGAATCATAATACCAGTCTATCATCAGCACACTGAATATGAGGCTACAGCCAGCAGCTGGTTAGCTTAATGCAACACAAGCACTGGAAATTTGTCTCCAAGTGAACTTGTCTCTGGCACAGAACCTTCACAAAACCATAGCTTGTCATTTGTACACTTCTGTGTGGATTAAACGAATGAGCTGTAAGTGACTTTTTGATGTGCTGGTAGGCAGACCTTTTTATCATTCAGTATCAATCTTCTCATCCAACAAGTATTTGCCAAAATGTTTGGCCATTTGTAAAAACAATACTTTTGGTAAAATGTTAACTTTTGCGCAACAAAGACAAATGACTTCGCTTTCCTTGTAAATTAAACTGTACTTTTAGTGGAATAAGTGCAGTAACATATGTTCTGTAATGTTAGGATTGGCCCTCATTTCTAATAGACTCTAAAAGGAGTGAAGGTAAGGAAAGCAGAGATACAATGGTATAATGGAGGGTGGATGGTTGTTAAGCTATAAAGATAATGGAGATTGGAAATGTGGCATTTAACTGTTTAAATGTCCTCACATCTGCCACAAGATGGCGGCAGAGGTCTCTCTGGTAACAAGGTAGCACTGCAGGACTTTCATCCAGTCAACTGATGTTAAGGTCTGCAGGAGTCTTAGGCCTGAGGATATTAGACCACAGAGAGATATATCACTGACTCATTGTTACTGTGCTATTTCTTATTTAATGAAGCTGATGAACATATGGAGAGCGCATGTAGTCTTATTTCAAATCTATTTTTTGAGGTTTACAAACATTTTACGTATTTAACTATTATATAAGTCTCTGGTATGAAAAGCTGTCAATCACCTTTGCAGCCTGGACTGTTTTCCATCTCTGTGTTAAAGCTAGAGCTAGCTTCTCATAGATGCTACATTGTCTCTTTAACACACCGAGAAAACAGCACACATGTCCTCTCTGTTCCAGCAGCTAATTCTGACACAATCTGTCTCCTCCAGTCATTTACATCATCGAGACGGAGCCGCAGTGAAACGGCTGTATCCTCCATCTCTGCACTGATGGATGTCTGTCTGACAGGCTGTTGCCTGAGCAGCAGCAGCAGCAGTGCTGTGTGTTTGCTGTCTTGCGTGCAGGCACCAGTGAGCCTGTGAGGGACGGAGACATCTGTATATTCAAGTTTTCTACTCCTCCACAATGTGCTGCTCAGTGTGCATGGCAGGACATGGGGAGGTGCACGCTCGCCTGGCTGCGTGGCGAGCCGTGGCCGCCATCATTGTTGTGTGAGACTGTGAAATAAAGACGAATCAATAATCTGAAGATATACAGTGTGTGTGTATGTCTGTGTTTGTGTGTTCAGTGTAGAGGCCTATAGACTGTACTGTATGTGGTTTATTGTATCAGCCCTTAAACCTCTAAGCAAATGTCATCATTTCATGCTGATGCTCAGACATAGGATTATGTGAGAGGTACATTTTAGGTTTTAATGTATGATTTCTCTCATTAGTGAATGGTATGAGAAGTGACAACTATCTATGTATAAACACAGAGAAAAGAATGGGGATAACCACTTATTTATCAGCTAACAGGGCTTAGGTGGAGTCATAGGTAAAACTAAATTCAGTTATTTGGTTACTCCACGTGCACTGAACTCTTCTAAGTCTGCCCTGTGTTGGAGTAGATGCTGCTCACGTTTGGACATTTAAAGCGATGTGAACAGGTTCAAACAGGTCATAAACTATGACATACTTTTTGGGAATGAATATGTTTGCTCCAACCATAGCTGTGACAGCTGACATGGGATGGGAACCCTGTGAACTGCACTGGGTTTTTTGTTTTTGACTGTGTAAGGAATACTTTATTTCAATGATACATTTTGAAAAAGTGAATATTGGTTTGATTTCTGATTTCGTTCTTCAGTTGTTAAATGAAAAATATGGCTACTGAGATGAAGAAGAAGCAGAAAACTCAGACATATGGTTTAATCAAAACTGAATTTAGGACTGAAAATTGTGTGGAATGAATCAAAAGATTTCTGTGTGCCCAACTGAGGTGTGGTATCTTATCTATCTGGAAACAGCATCTTGTTAGCATTGATGAACAAGACTGATATATGTGAGTTAAATGAAATAGAAAATAAAACACAGTTTGTGTTATATTGTCATTTATTTATGACCTATGAAAGAAGTTATTCAGTAGAACTAAAACAATGTTGAAAGATGCTGAAAAAAAGAAGACTATAAAAGTTGCACTTATGAAAATGTATCTTCAGGATGCCTGGTCATTAAGAAACAAGACTAAGAGTCATGCTATCGCCTTTTGAGCTAAGTGCTGATATCTTCATGCTAACATGCTGACAGTGAGAAAGCTCACATGCTGGTGTTTTTTTAAAGGTATAACATTTACCATGTTAGCCATCTTAGTTAGAAAGTAATTAGCTGAACTTAGCTAATTAGCACTAAACACAAAGTACAGATAAGGCTGATGGGAAGGTAATTAGTTTGGTAATAAACCAAAGGATTGGACAAGTTGAAATTTTGACCTGAGGATGGCGCTAGATGAAAAGTTAAGGGATCACCAAAGTTGTTAGAATTCATCTTGAGGGGGACATGACTCTACAAACTTTCATGGCAGTACATCCAACAGTTGTTGCACCAAGGTGGTTGAACATTGCCACCCACAGAGCCACGCAGATAGCATAGCTAAAATGTGTTATACAAGCAGCTTTTACATTGTGTCTCCAAAACATCCTTCTTTTCTTTGCTTTAAAAACCATGTGAAGTACATGACACAGGACAACGATTGTTTTTTCTTTGGAACATGAATGTCACTGCTGGATGTCTTTGTTTAGGCCTATATGTGGTATTATGGTGTGCCATGTCATCCCATGTGGTATGGACCATTTCAATGGTATGAAACAAAATTAAACATGTAATTTATTCATTCCACAGTCAGTTCGATTTTAACTAAAATAAACTACACTTTAGCAACAGACAACATATATCTTTCCTTTGTAAGTGGACCATGAAGTGCAAAATAACAACAAGTGCATAGCGTATAGTCATCTGCTGATCACGTTACTGCTGAAAATGCGCACACACCCACATGAAGTTGTGGTCTGTAAACACACACACACACACACTTTCAGCCATTCTCTGTGGCTGAGTTTATGTGTTTTCAAGCCTCATTTGCAACATTTGAGAAGCTTGTCTTTTGTTTTGTTTTTCTGAGTGTGAGATTCCCGGAGGCCAGTTACTCAGACACAGTCAGCAAATTCTGGTAACATGTACAAGCATGATGTTTATTTTACTCATTAGAAATCAAAGTCGTCTTTGTGCACAGCCAGGGTTGGATTCCCAGGCTGCAGAGAGGTCTTTTTGAGCTCAGCGTAGCGTTTGCAAGCTGTGTTTGAATCACAGGGATTTCAAAACAGCTGGGAAGCTCTAAAACCCTCACGCACAATGCTGCAGAGAGACACCACAGCAGAGCCGAGGGAGAGGCTTTATCATGTGGGAAAGTGTTAATCAAGGAGAAGCAGGTTATTTCATTCTGTAATGCTGTAAACAGTTGGCATTTACTTTTTGACTGCAGTTCATTTATTGGGTGCTGTTTGCTATTTGTCCTTTGAAATGTTTCTTAAAAAGGCAAGAACACAATTGTTTTGATTGTTTGTTTCTTTTACACGTTGACATGAAGACACCACCTCTTGCACAATTATTCCTGTGTGAAATAACAAAAGGCTCATGCTGCGTTCATGTCATGTGGGAATAACTGAGGAAATTACTTCTTGGTAAAAGTCAAAGAAGTGGAAGTGTTCATATTTGAAACACTTTGAAGCTTTAACGACACTGTGATTGCACTTGCCTGCAGATTTTGGCTTCCCCTCATAAGCTTTTTCACATGTGCATTTTGTTATGGCGTTTGTGTTTCACAGAAAGCCAAACATAGAAATGTAAACCACAAATGGCACATCCAGCAAGTTGAACGCTCTCATGCTATTTTTTTTATGTCAGCAAAAAAATGACCGCGGGCATTAAGTTCTGTCTGTTTATTTAAAGGTGACTGTGGGCCTATCATTTGGTGCTTTCCTTGTTAGTGACACCAGGATTCAGGAAGACAATTTTTTTTCAGTTCTAATGACCCAAAAGCTCAGCTGAATGGCATTTTCAACCTTTAAATTATTACTTAACCATATGCCATGAATGCAGCATCATTGCTATGTATTTTGGTAAAATTCAAACACTTTACTTATATACATATAATTTACAAGCAGTAAATTAACAATTGTTTGTAATGTATTTGTAAGCAGATACAAGTATTTTTTTTATCAGCATCTGCAACTGAATGATTGATTATGCAGTATAACATAGTTGCAATCATATTTAATGACATATGCTTAGGAAGATGAGCATTCTTGCTGTGTAATAAAACATTTATTATCTGTGTATATAGATAAACAAACCAGTCACAGGCAGCTAAAATAAGTGTTAATCTTCTTCCCGGTCTTTCAGCTGCATCTGGTGGCCTTCATTCAGTTTGTTCAGTTGCCATGGACAGTGAAGAAATGTTCATAAAGTTAGAAGTAATAACAATATTCAGTTCTAATAAATAAAAGTACCATACAATCAGTAAACATAATAAATCAATACAATATATGTTCATATTTAGATTAAATATGAACATATAATGTGTTCAATCATTCATTCATTACTCAGTATTTATACAAAACTTAAAATGTCCCTATATCTTCTTACAAGTACATTATTTTGTATTAACTGCTTACATACTGCCTAAAATAAAGGGTTACAAATAGGTTATAATTCTGACAGTAAAATGTTGATTGTGCTGACATAAGTGATAATATCATTGTCTTGTAGTCCTGCTTTGACTGGAGCGCCTTCTGTAACGTCACACTTCACTTTTACTTGTATTCAGTTTAAGCACTCAAGACATTATAATGGGCAGCACAGTTGCATATTGTTCAGGGGATTGTTTTTTGCTCTACTGGTAACATAAGTAACATACAGTACCTCCCACGTAACATGTGGATGTTTAGTTCAATACTGAACGTGTTTGATCCCTCCAGCGTGGTCTACTGATTTGTTTACAATAATCCAAGACCTAAAGCAGGCCTAGTCCTCACAGCTTTGATCATACATGCATGGCTTTTAAAGCCCTGACAGCAGTCATTCCCATATCGAATATAGTCTGGGAAAAAATGAAATCATCTTAATATCATCTGAGATCGTTCTTATGTCAATATCATATTGTAAAGTTTGTTTAAATATTTTTGGCAGGATAAGGCAACATTCACCATGACAGCAGACAATTCTTATGGTCTAACGTACTTTATTCAAACGATGATACATCGAGATGCTAAACCAGCACGACCTACTCAGCTTCATCACTTGAAGATTAATATTAGATATTGTAGAAACACAAAAATAAATGGACTACTTTGTTACTAATAGTTTTATTTCAGACATTTTCTGACAGGAAAATCAATTCATCTTTTGATTCATGACATTTTCCCAGTAATTACATTGTTTACAATGAACAAATGTTTGTGTTGCCACATTTGGGAGCGGGATTCAAATGCAATTGTCTATCAGAAATGTCTTTTTCAGCTTTAGAATAAGACAGTCTCACTGAAGTAAAGTATCAGCTTAGTTTTTGACAGTAGAATGTAATAGTCTAATGAACTAAAAAACAATGAGTGACATGAAATAGATGAAACTGATAAAAATAAATAATTATAGATATGAAATATATCCACTGACATATATATCTGTAAAACATTTAAAGTGGTTTAATGTGTCAAAAAGTTAGATTAATCTATTTTACAGTTTACAAATAACACCAAATATACTGTTTTACACAGATAATCTACTTTTCTGAGACCTATCATTCATTATGTTAATTATATCTGAAAATGGGACCTGACCCATGTGTGCACCTTTGACTTTATGTCTATGTGAGAACTACATGCAGTGCATAGTTTTTGGAAGGCTTTTTAATTTGAAAAATAAACTGCAAAACTCAAATGACTTTACAAGCAGGAAAAAAATGTTGCAAACGGCTACACACCACACGTTAATGAGTACTAATTCAATCCTCATGCCAATGTTTATTTGATGCCGAGGAGAAGAGATGAGCAATAGAAATGCTCGGAGAGATGCGAATTGTGCCAAAAGTGCTGGCGCATATAACAAAAGCTACAGAATGTCTGACAACAGCTTTATAACACAGTTAGTCATGGCTAACCAGAAAGCATGTAATCCATTTATAACAGCTATTGCAAAGAGGACTTTTATTTTGAAAATGCACTTTACAATGTATTTAAAGATCAGTCAGTGTAAGACCTCCTAGTTTGATGTGACTTGAAGAAATTAACTTATTTTATGGCGTCCCTCTATATGTGCAGCTCTAACGTGGCAGTCTTGGAGATGTAATAAATGTTTTATACAGTGGTGTTCATGCAAAATGTTCAGTGCTCAGAGTCTGGTAGATGATGGGCGCTGATACGACAGGCAGCCAGCGGTGGTCAGGGCTGAGCTCCGTGCTTTGTTCCCGGATCGCGGGGTTAATGGTTTTCCATACTGGGTGGTGAGGGAGGAGCAGAGCAGGTTTTTCAGGCATTCTGTGTTGGAAAATTAGGATGCAGCCTCTGTTGTCAGAGCCGGGGAGCTGTCTGCCACTTTCCCAGCAGCCCTTGGGCCGGTGACAGGGAGATGGATGATATCTGCAGCCTGGCCGCACTGCTCCCCCAGTGCACACAAACACACAAAGTCTGTGTCTAGTTCTCTCTCACACACACACACACACAAATAAAGCAAACAAAAACACACCTACACACAGACTCTATTTCCTCCCTTTCTTACCCTCTCCTCTGACACACACACTCAGAATGTATGAGTATTTGTGTAATACACCTCTCTCTTTGTTGCCTTTGGCAACAAAACCAATATCAAGGGGAATGAAAACCTCACAAGTGAAAACAATGAAAATGTTTTGAGGGGAAACTGCAGGATTCCTTCCTTGTTTGCTTACATGGATTAAACCATTAAATTTCTAAATAACCAAACGCAGGACATATTCAACAAAGACCTTTATTGAAATCACTCTATATACAATATGAAAAGTAGACATTGTAACATCTACAAATATTCCATTCTTTGTTAAGAAAATACAAGAAAAAGATATTCCATTAATTTTGAAAACACCCACCAAGTCAAATGCTTTATGTACAGAAAAAAAAACTGCATGTTCCTAGATATTTATTACTACTATAACTCATCTAGCATATCTCAGAGAGTAATAGTCATTTTAATTAAAGAAAACACACACTTCCTGTGCTGAACTGTAGATACGGCTTTGGGAGGGAGGCTGGACTCGAACCTGATAATATGTGCGCATGCATTACAGCAGTATAAAGTGTATGTGTGGGGTGCTAAGTCCTTCAAAGATATCCATCCTTTCCTTCCACCCCTTTGTCCTCCTCCTTCTTCACCTCCCTCTCTCTCTCTCCTCTCTTTCTCCCACCTGTTCTCATTGTCCTTACCTGCTATCCCACTCTCCGCCACGCTGCTGATGTTCCCGCAGTCGGGATCGAATCCAGCGGCCATGTCACCTGAGCAACAGCCGCTGCATACAAATGAGGCGCTGACGGGAGGGAGGGCTTGACTCTGCACCAGGAGGAAACGCCCCCTTGACTTCACTCCAATCCCCCCACCTTTCTTCTTCCTCTTCCTCCTCATCACTCTGGAAGAACAGAGAGAATGGGCGGGCTGTAAAAGGCAAAGGATTGTAAAAAAAAACAAGGAGAGGAAAAGGGACAAATAAGGGGAGAGTGGTGCTGGAGCAGAGGAGACAAGAGGGGGAGGTGGGGAGAAAAGGAGGACAAGGGCTGGTAGGGAGCGGGCTGTTAAGGGAAGCATCCATCACTGTTTTAAGTGACTGCAGTGGGATGGAGCTGAGTAAAAGGTCGTCTGGTCTCTTTCTGTGCACAGCGGGCACCTGGGCAGAGCTGAGCAGCTTCCAAATGACTCCAGGCTAATTATCTCGCGGAGGCCGTCTGTTACAGCAGTCTGACACTTTTACTCACTCACTCTACTACTGCAAGTGTGCAAGCAAAACATGGCAGTCATACACCCAAACGCTGTCCTCCACTCTTGTCTGCTTCAAAAATGGATCACACAGAAAAAGACCAGAAAGTGAGGTTTTTGTTGTTGTGTTGCAAATGCAAGTCTTATTTAATTGGTCTTACCTTTGAGCTCGGAGACAGACAGAAAGACAATTGCCAGGGCTCCTAGAGAAGAAGAGATATTGATAGCAATTTAGAATAAGTGTGGGAAAATACAGGACGGTGTCCGTGTCTCCTGCCTTTACAAGGATGGGGAAACTTGGAAACGAGAGGAAAATGTAGCAGACTTATTTTTCAGACTATCTCTGAAACATCAGCTCTTTTGTGGTGGAACATCACAGACAAAATCAGAGTAAACACACTGTGATTAGCCAAGTGTCCACCTGCCCGGGGGCTGAGCGGATGCACTTGAGGAAACACTAGGAATGTGTGGCCATGACCTGTTTGAGGGACACAAAGCAAACCACCAGAATGTGACTAGGCTAGCCAAACATGTGTGTGTGTGTGTGTGTGTGTGTGTGTGTGTGTGTGTGTGTGTGTGTGTCTGTTAGAATTACAGTGAGAAGTTTTACTTTAAATAACTGACTATATTGCTAATGCAGCATCGGTGTACAAAAACAAGAGCCACAGAGAAGCTGACAGTCTAAACTCTGATTGGGCATCTCTGTCAAAGTTACAACAGTTCAGCTGTCTGGTGGCCAAGGGGTTAAAAGCTTTTGCCTGTGGCGACAATGCTGCGCCCACTATAGGTCACAAGCAAGTCCCAGCCACTGGATAGCCAACCTGCAAGACAGAGCATAATTATCCCAGCCAGTTACAGTTCAATAACTCCATCAAGCTGCTAGCCAGATACCAGGTTTCCCTGGCAACGCCTCCGAAGTGAATCACAGATCAGAGAGAGAAGGGGAGATAAGACCGGACCCGGGGAGGGAGCTGGGCGAGGAGGACCAAGGGGCAATGCATCTTCAAATACTGAGGACCTTTAGACAATACAAACACACATGTGCAATGCTGGCATGCACAAGCAGACACACACACACACACACACAAACAGACACAACAAACCAGGTCTGAGAGCACTGCAGTTGGATGTGCCGAGACCTCTGGCCTGCAGGCCGTCAGTCAGCTCCCTTTGAGCTTTGTTGTTTGGTTTTCAATCATCAGCCCCACTTTCCAGACTCCTGCTCTATGCCCACAGGCCCGCCACGAAAATCCTCCAGTCTCAGCGCAGTCTGTCCTTCCAGTAGACGCCCCCACCTCCCACAGCACTTACTGTAATCTGAAAAAGTTAATGGAGTTTATCTCTCATCCTTGTCGCCCAGAGAATAATAAAGAAACTTTTGTGCTTTCGATGCACAGGGATAATTACATTACGAGTGGCACAACAATTTATACCCTTGATTGAATTAAAAACAAAATTGAATTGGTTTCAGTGCAGACTTTTTTTTGGGGGGGGGGGGACTTTGCGTATAAAATGTGTGTCTGCATGTTTTTGTGGTGTCATAGGCACACTTCTGCGTGAGTGTGTGTGTTCAGGTGACTGTCTGGCCTCCTGCCGCAGTGTCTGGAAACTCAGACGCCCCCCCCCCACCCCATACACACACACAATCCCTGCCCCCCACCATTCTATGCTGCTCCGCTTTCAGGCATACCTGACGCCCCCCACCCCCACCCCACCTGCGCCTCCTCCCCCATCCTGCTGCGATAAGAGATCCGGTGAACACTAAACTGCTTCACCAGACAACACAACCTGACAATCACTGAAAAAAAACAAAAACACAAAATAATCAAGCCCTCTGATTCACTAAATCCATCTGATTTCCATGTCAGCTTGAGCCCAAATCCAAATGTGGAGGATAAATGTTAATCTGTCTTATTACTTTTATCGGGAAGCGATGCAGCGGCGAAGTGTGTTACATGACCACCTCTGAACAATGGAGTGTAATCTCTCGCACACACTCGGGTCCATCAGCTGGAGCCTTTGGTTTATCTACACCTATTCAAGGTCTGAATCAATCTTTCCTGCAGGAATTGAAGACTAGCTGAGCATAGAAACCAGCGCAAACGCGGCGAATGCTCTTTATTTAGGACATCTACTGATTAAAGTGTATTACGCCATATTTATATTATATACATCTTGCTGAGGCACTGCATTAGTTACTTGTGCATCAAATGAAGCAAAAGCAGAATTTCTGCTTCTTCATCAGTTTCATAATCATTTCTTCTGTCTAAATTGTCACTGTAAAATAGTCTGATTGGTTCTGTGCAAACACAGAACAGAAATGTTTTTATTGCACACATTGCATAATTGACCTTGACAACCACTTCCAAATTTTTTATGACTTATCTAATTATATCAAAATTAAAAGATTTCATTAAATGAATTATTTCCATAATAAAGCAAAATTATAAGCACTGCTCTCACAAATATGTTCATATTTCATACACTTCAGTAACTCATAGCCAATTGACATTGACAAAAACGGAGCAGGATTCTGAATTTCCTCTGAAAATATAAAATTTTTAAAAGTTGCTTTGCTTAAAAAGGTCAAAGATGCAAAAGTGGATTAATGAGGCTTTTTTTCATTTTCATTTTTGTTATTTTCAATAAAATAGCAGCTTTTGCAGAATTTCCCTTAAGGAGATTTCTTTTTTCCCCTTGATGCGTCAGATGCAGTGTAATGTTCAGATGGCACAAAAGAGATTCATTTAGTGGTTGCTTATTGAGAACTAGTTTGACTTTGAACAAAGTTTGTATTCCCCATTCAGTGGAGTTACAAACTAGCCGGTGGCAGATTTTTACGGGGTGATATTTATTGGATCCTTGGCGGATTGCTGGGAGCATGCTGCTTTGTTACTGTTGGGGGAGCGGTGAGGATTTCATCAGTGGGCTCGGGTGCTGCCAGACTTTGCTGCGTGTCAGACAGACCCTAATAAAACTGTCTGGCTGTTTTGTGGGCACCAGCTCCACTCTGGCTGTGCTGCGTCTGACTGCTCAGCACTTGTCGCACTGTGCCTGGCTGTTTGGTATTCATGGGGCATGGCACTCCTTCAGCTGTTGCTGGGGGCTCTGTGGCATAGGCACAGACTGATTAGTTGGCATCGGCATTGTTCACTATGAAACTAAATGGGGAGACGGGAAGAAAAAAAAACATAATTAGGGAGAGAGGGAGACTGGAGACTGGGAGAGAGATGGAGAGGAGGGTATTAGAGAGAAAATCAATTGTTTTGAACTGCATTCCTAATATGGGTAATTTAGAAGAAATTAGGTTTTCAGAAAAGCATGCTGCCTTGGGAAAAATTTAAAGTTTAAAATCCAGGTCAAGCTGTAATGTTGAATGAAGTCACCTTAGAATAGCATAAAGAAAAAGAATTATGTTTTGGAAGGCCTAATTTATTGTAATTGCACTTATTTAGCCGTGCTCACAAGAGACCAGTCAAATATTTTCATTTTCTATACAATGTTTAATATTGTCTTTCTGCCAGCCTACCTTTTTGCTGAATTACAATGTCTGTCAGAGTCGGCCTACAACTCCAGTTAAAATATGGATTTAGACCATTAACCAATTTGGTTGGGACATCTCATCTCGACAATGGCAAATTACAACCGATCAAATTAAGAGAGCAATAAAATTCCTTTGGAACTGATTGAACATTTTAAAAATGTGCTTATTTTTATTTAACATACTGTAAGATTTCTGGCATCTCTGATTTTACCATAGCCAGCAACTTAATGTATAGAAGAGGTTCATTTGAATACATTTCCAGTTCCAGTTACTATTAAAAATTTATTTGTTAAGAAAACAAATAATTACTCTGTAATTGTGATAATAATACATATTTGGCTTTTGTCCCTAGGGATTCCGTGTATTTGTTAATCAGTGGGTACGTTGGAATGTGCTTTTTAAAATACTCTTCTCAGGGAATTGTTATCAGATGCTGAATACTGGTATTGATTTTGAAATATGGCAATATCATAATGTCTAAACTCTTTCTGATAGCTGGCTCAGATTTTGTTTAAAATGTTTAAAATGATGAAGCTATATAACTAAAATGACTGAATGTGTGTGTGTGTGTGTGTATGTTAAAAAAAAAAGAAAAAAGAAATAAGGAGTAGATAAATGAGTTTGCAGCAGGCAAGAGATTAAGTTATCCCACTACTGAAAACAAAACTGTAACCTGCATTAGAATCTTTAGTTTTACAACGTGTAAAACAGCAGCGGCAGATGTGGCATTAGGATCAGACTACTCCTGCAACGTCAGAATGAAGCTGGAGTGATCAAATTCAGAGCGACTGCCTCGGTAATGGAGGATCACATGTATTGGTTGGGTCTCTGCGATACTGTGATGCGGTGCTGACAGGGGTTAATCAGCACGAGTCCGGGGTGTGGTGGTTTGGAGTGGTCGGTGTCCTGCCATTTCTAATCAGATCATGTGTTACTCGAATGGCATTCAAACAAAGATGTTGACACAGAGAGAGATTACAATGTCGGTTGAGAACATAGCGCAGCGTAGACGAGTGTTTCGGTTTTACAGCGATGACACTGCTGCGATCACGAAAGGCGTTCTTGATGAATTTTTGGGGGAAAACTAAACATTTCGGCGATACCAAACATGCACATTCCTACATGCACAGTTCCATCAGGACTACAGTTCACTTTATAAATGATGTGACCGAGGAGTTGATCAAACAAAAATCCTAAAAACGTTTGCTCTTTATTACACGACTTCCTTTTCATGTTTCTTCTCCCTTTCTCTACATTGTCCCTACCATGTATAGATTTTCAACAGTAAATCAGTTGGTGCTTCATTCCAACTCCACCCTTGGAACATTCGGTAGAAAGTCGATTGTGCCCTCCGCCCGCGTCCCAAGAGCCTAACCCGTGATTTTTTATCAAGAGAGCTCACAAGTTAGGGTCTCAGGGAGCAGGTGAAGTACGACAGAGTCTACTGAGGAGCCGCAGTCAGCTGCAGGGCACTGACACATTTCCCTCTCTCTCTGCTTCACACACACACACACACACAACCTGTCCCTTTCTCAACCACTTCCACTTAAAAGTACCCAATTTCTACCTAAAGGCACCCACAGCATGGGCTGCAATCAACAGAAAAAACGG